CTCGCCCGCTCCCCCCGTGTCCGCCCTCCCCTCCGCTGCCCGCCGGGAGACCTGCCGGCACCCAGGCGGGGGCGGGAGAGAAGGGACCTTGGCCGGGATGCTTTCGGCCAGAAAAATTCCCGAAAAGCGGTTCTGGGGAAGGGTGCCGCCGTGGGTAGCCAGATGCGAGGTGCATCTCCCGGGAGGCTTCCTTTCCCCCTCTCCGCCGAACGGTCCCGCCGGGCTCCCGCCGCCGCCCCGGGGCAGAGGCGGTGTCGGCGCTGACCGGTGGCTTTTGTGCGGGAGCGGGGCGGAGGAGGTGGGACGCGGTTATTAGTATTCGCGGCAGATGTATTTTCTTTAACGCAACGTCTTTATTCCGGTTGGTGGCCGACGGCAGAACCCGGTTCCCGATGTTATTTGCATTCCCTGTTTTATGGAGGATTAAAATATTTGTATTCCTCCAATCTGTATCGGGTAGACTGAATTAACCCCCCCCCCCCCCCTTTTTTTTTTAATAACACAATTATCTCATTTAACAATTTGCCTTTAAAAAAAAATACTGTGGCTGTTAGGTTGGTGGTCAGGAGACAAAGGGAGTGAAAATAATTTTCATTTCAATAATTGCCTTCTGGTCAATTTAACTGTGCCTTATTTTGAAAGAGCCTGTCTAAATGAGATTCCTGTCCCAAATGTGTTCCCAGGCCTTAGCCCAGCCTTTAATTATTCCTGAGTTTTTTTTCTTCAGAATAAGACGCTGCACTGAGTAATCACAAAGAAGTCAGAGAGCATCCTTGAACCTTTTCAATAGCAGAGCCACTGATATTCAAATAACATGCAAGGACCATTTGACTGCATGGGGACATAAGCATTTCCAATTCACTATTTGCATAGATCAACTGTCTTTGAAAAGGAAAGGAGCAGTTGTCTTCCATAACATTAAAAAGCCTAGTTATCAAATCAAGTGCTTAGTTTGGGGCTTTTAAAACGTTTACATTTTATCTCAGGTTGCCCTTTACCGTTTGACATGCAAATTTGGCGCAGTTAATTTGGACAATTAAAAGGATCTTCAAGGGAGCTTTGTCACCGAGAATATTCGGAGTTTTCCCCGCGGACCAGCTGAGATAAAGTTGGCCAGAACAAATGATGTCTAGGAGATTAATTAGATATTTGATAAGACATGAATCCCTAATAAGGGAATACAAGGCACAGGGGGCTGCTGTGTGCTCTAAGTCAAAATTAATAACATTTAACAAGATTTTCATTTAGGCATGAAATGTCTTTTCCGGAGTATTGACTCTAGCGATTTATTCCCCCGAGATCACCTCCCAACCCAGACAGCCTTGTGGCGCTAAAGGCTTTTTAAATTAAATAAATAGTTCCTCAGCACAGTTCGGTTTCACTCGATTTTGGGGCCGGTTTCACCGGAGGCGCTTAGGGCTCGGCGTGGTTCCAGGCTGGGTGTAGCGGAGCTCGGACTCGGTTTAAATTTGTTTTTTAAAAGAAAAAAAAAAATTAAATTAAACCCAAAGTGAGGCTGTTTGAAAAGGGCGAGCGGAGCGGCTTCGGCGCGGCCGGCTCGGGGGCCGGCTCCTTCCCCTCTCGGCTCCCCGTGTCTGCCGGGTTTTTAATCACAGTCACTCTCAGGAGGACGGGGAGGGGGGCGAGGGCTCCCGCTAAAATCCTGACCCCTGCGATGGCTGGGCGGGGGGGAAGGAGGGGGCACGAAGAAGAACAAACCCGTGAGTATATTGTTTAGAGTCCTTTAATAATACCAAAATGAAAATATGTCAAGGTTTGGTTGTTGTTTTGTTTTTGTTTTCTTTTTCCATACAGATAAACGCATTTTAATTTCCTTAAAAGACCTTAACTTACGAGTGTTTGAGTGAAATGTTAACTCAACATTTTTAAATATCTTTTACATATATACTGACTTCCACAAAGTGCATCAGAAATTTAAAATAATAATAATAATATAAAAGAACCAAAACCCCAAAACCTCCCTGAATTTCAGGAATTCACCAATTAAAAAAAAAAATACCCAAACCCCCTATCAGATCAACATTTACAAGAAAAATAAG